AGAGCCCGGCCGGGGAGACGCCGCCCCGCCGCGTCGGGGCCGCTGCCCCTGCCCGCTCCCGGCTTCCCGCCGGGGCCTTTGCGCCTCCCGGGCTTGGCAGAGGCGGTGGGAGTTGTTCATGGCGAGCGGCTCGAGGCTTGATGCCAGACAGGCCGCTTGGCGGGAGCGGAACGCGGGACGGTGTTTGGGGGAGAGAGCCGTTGCGAGAACCTGGAGGTGATCGGAGGCTTTCGGCAGCTGTAGAGCTGTGAAACAAGCCTCTTAAACAGCTACATGAGAGTGAAACGCTTTTTCCCGCTTCAGTAAATGCAAGCGTGACAGCGATGGGTGAAAACATTTTTTAAAAGGTTTCTAAAAAACCCATTTTTTAAAAAAGTTTCAAAAAAAAACCATTTAAAAAGTTTCTTAAAAAATTACTTTTATAACTTACAGTATGAATTGCAATGTCTGGCCATATCTGATAGCTCACTAGTTGTCTAAATTAGAAAGCATGTAGATAAACCGCTGTGACTGACTGATGTTGCATGTCGAGATGCATGGTACCCAGCAGTATAATGCTGTATTTCACATCACTTTAGGAGCTGAGGAGGTGGCCGTTTTGTGTGCGCTCACAAAGACTCTTCAGTTGCACTGCTCTTGCCATAAATAACACATTAGTCTGCGTTTTATTTTTGCTTGTTCTACGTGAAGCATATGGAAACCATTAATGCTACTGCCTTAAAAAATCGGGGATTGTTTTCCATTGTGTCTCCACAGGCTTCTTACCTCCCATAACTCCTCCAGAAAAATTCTTTCTGTCTCAACTGATGTTGGCCCCCCCTAGAGAACTGTTCAAGAAGACTCCTCGGCAGATTGCTTCAATGGACGTGGGGAACATGGCCCAGTCAGTGGATATAAGTGGGCTTCAGCTGGCATTAGCAGGTAAGGAAGATTTGTGGCTGTGGTTCAGTTATGAATGGAAACGCTAATTGTAATGTGGCTGTGAGTTACCCGAGAAACACTCTTGTCTATCCTAATTATGAAAAAGGTTGAACTGTGCCTTAGGGTCTTCAAGCCCATGTTCAAGCACATAAAGAAACTTCAAGCAGAGATTAGGCCTTAACTGTTTTATCCTACTTAACAAGCAGCTTTTTAAGCATATACATCACTACCTTCAACATGAGAACATTTTGCAAGTATAGGAAGATTTTCATCTAAAGCTTTGTGTTGGTTTTTTTTTTTCTTTTTTCGGGTGGGTTGTGGGTTTTGTGTATTTTTATCCCTTTTCACTCTTTGCAGTATTTCTGGTATGAGAGAACATAGCATAACTGTCATGCTGTCACGTACCAGTACTTCAGCTGCACCTGGCAAATTGGCTATTACAATTATATCTTCAGTTTTATAAAACAAAGTCGGATCTTACAGCATTAGCTCAAGAGTGGGCAGGTGGTCTACTTTTCCTGGATTGAAAAGAAAAGCCATGTGATGCTTATCCTTTGACAGGAGAAAAGGAGCAGGAACATGATTGTTCTGATCACATTGACTGATGAGTCACATCTGGAGCTAATCTGAAATAGAAAATATTGTTGGCCACAAGAAGCCAGTTTGGACAGCAAAAAATAGTGGTTTTTTTCCTAGGTACGTGCAAATTGAGCTGCTCGCTTGAAAATGGACCATCCCACTTCTATATCTGTACAATGTGGTTTACTGCTCTGAGGTCAGGCACTAACTGGGCTTTCTCCGTCCCGCGGCTGTATCTTGGTATCATCATTTTTTCTGTAGAACCTGTCACTGGCTTGTTTACAGTGTACAAACGTCCTCTGTTGTCCCCCTCAGCTACTGTTTCCACACTGCGGGATCTTTTGAAAATGCAATTTGAGTACCCTAACACCCTTTCAAGGGGGAAACAAACCCTTCTGGTTCATCCTGTCTGTGTTTTCTAGAATACTTCTTTGAATTCAGATTTTGTGAAACTTCAGGTAACTTGTGATTTTTAGCATGAGGCGTACGTGATGCCCTAAAGAAGCCTGGAGTTTTTTCATTTGTTTTTATTTGTTTTCCCCTTGGTACTGTGTTTGTTTTCTGAACAGTTTGTTCTCATTAAAACTAAAACACGTAGAGAACCTCAAAACTGTAGTTGTATGGATGGGTACTCTAGGCCATGCATTTTAATTTGTCCTTTATTTAAAATAGAAGACACTGGTGGCTTAAAGTACAGTCTAAAGTCATTAATGGGGCTTTGCAAAATTAAGCCCTGTAAGATGTGCTTGTATCATTATTTACATAATACAGTAAACATGCATAATTGATTGCTTATGAGCAGTTGTCGGAGTTATGTAACAAAACAAGCTGCATCTGAAAAAGCTTCATGCTGTCTTTCTCAGGCTTCTTGCTGTAGCTCCCTCGAATAAACGTCTGCTTTCTGTTCACTTTCTTAGAAGATAAATCTTTTGCCGGTTTTAATATTGTGATGCTTCTTGACTGTCTATTTGTCATGTTTCAGAAAGTCTGTCAATTTTTCAGACGTTTTCAGTGTATTTCTCCTAATGATTTGGTATGCGGGATGAAGCTGTGCCGCTGGCAGTGCATAAATACTTGTATTATGATGCTTAGATACAGTGTTTAAGGGGTGCATTTACACCCTTTCCCCCCCACATTTCATAGAACATAGCAGTTGTGAGACTTGGTGGCCCTTCAAAATTGTGGTCCCTGAGGTCAATTCAGGGCTATTTAGAGCAGGATGATTTTGACTTGCTTTAGAATACATGTGCAAAATCAACTTAAATAATTTAGAAAGAATTAATTTTTTTCAATCAGTGTATCTATACCAATCTTTCTTTTGTAAAGGGAGGAAAAAGTGCTTGGCTTGTCTTCTGAACTTGAGCTCATTGTGGCAATTCACTTGCAACTGTATGGTGCTTTCTCTGGGTGTGTTTTTTTTGTTGGTTTTTTTTTTTTTCCCACCCCCGTTTGTTTGGTTTGTTGTTTGGTTTGGTTTTTTTCCCCCCCAAAAGTAGAGTGTTGAAATAGAGCATCTTGGGAATGAGTATTAAAACTTGCTTTGTTCTCTTCTCCCTTTGGTCTACACAATGTTCATTCAAGCCTCGGTCTCTCCCTATAACTTGGTTTTGTTCATCTGGTGTGTTAACGTATAAAAAAAAAAAAGTCACTTTCTCCTAGTTGCAGGGATGGGTCTTCTGGGAAAGTGCTTGTAACTGTCTGCTAACCCTTATTAGATTTAGGAGTAACTGACCTGTATTAAAGTTTGTAATACATTGTAGAGCTTTCCTTTAAGAATCAAAGAAAGTTTCTTTTTCCCTGTAAAAAGAAAAAAAATGAGCTCCATAAAGGAACCTAAGTGATTGTTTTCAGATTAATTTTTCTGAATTTAAATGTCTTGGTTCAAGATGCTATGTTCTTTCCTGTTAAATCAGCATGTTCTAATTCTCGCTTCTGCTTACCTGAAACTGTTGATCCAGCCCTAATTCTTGAAACAGTGAGGGTGAGCTTTTGAGCGTCAGTGCATGTAACTGAGGGCTCATGCAGGCTTCTAAAATCAGTGACTTGAAGGACTGTATCTTAAACTTTTATATTTCTAATTAAGCATCCTTAATCATTTGAGATTATGGGGATACAAACACATCAGTGATTTTACCAACGGATAGATTTAAGTTCTAGACTATAAATAAAAAGACTGAAAAAAGATGCCCAATATTTTTTTTTTTCTGTAGAACTTCGTTTGTTAAACCAACCCTTCTGTTCAGTGGCTAAATAAAAGGACTCACAAACTGGAGTTTGAAATAGTTTATAAACTCAAAGACATGTTTTATAAACCAGCTCATTTGGACTTTGACTTTAAAATTGTTTGGCCTTTTTTTTTGTTTTGTTTTGTTTTAAAACAACTGAAAGGTATGCTAGTTGTTGCCTTTAACAGAAAAACATGCCCTGCTGTGCTGCTTCAGTGAGCATATATGCAAACGTTTGCATGATCTGAAATAATTGGATGAAGTAGGAGAGAAAGCCAAAAAAGGAATTAGCAATGGGTGCTGCTTTGTTTTGATGCTTCTTTTGTCACTCACAGTTTCAGCGTCTCTCGTGGATTTGGTTGGAGTCATATGAAATAGTTCATACCCATGGGAAGCCAGGAAGGGCCAGCGTACTTGCACAAAAATGAGCAAGCACACTTTGCTTGGAAGTGATAGGGACAGTACACTAAATCTGACAGCACTACAGTTAATTAATGAGAAAAAGAAGCAGTGTTTAGTTTCACGTGGAACTTGAAAAAGGGATTCCTTGTGTGGTACCAACAATTTTGGACTTCAGATTACTTAAGGCTTAATCTGCTGCTTAATGCACTGTGTGGAGGAGGGGAGGAGTGTAAGGTGGTGTTCCGTAGCGGGTTTTTCCTCTGTTTTTTGTCAGCTGGGGTTTGTTTTGGGTTTTTTTGCCAAAGGATGGAAAACATGATCTCTCAAAATAATACAGAGAATATAGAAGATCAGCCATTAAGTCCTCAGATACAAAAGAGTGATAGATTGTGACAGAAGAACACCTAAAACTCTGACAATGCAAGTATTGAGCCCCATAGTCTTCAAGTCTTCAGCTGTATGTACTAAATTTAATATTATTTTAATGTAACCTTTTTATGTTCTGTAATTTGGGCTTTAAAGGGACACTTTCAGCTCTTCTCAGGTTTGCTTTAATGACAACATATATAGAATCACGTAACAATTAAACTCCCATCTTTTTCCACACAAGCTCTTGCTGTAGCTTGACAGCGAATGCAAAAGCAGCTTACGCAACGCCACTGAAATGTGTTGGATAAATTTGAATAGCTGACTTCAGGTCTAGCGTGACCATTATTGTGGTGGAGCCTGTAAATGTATCTGTCTGGATTTTTCACTCCCCGGCTCCGAGAAGTGATTGCAAAACTAGATATAGCATGTGAACTCTTTCAGGAGTACCATGTGAACCTACTAATCTGCTTTTAGATGCAGATTACATCAGTTGCTTACCTTTTCTAAAGCCAAGACTGCATTTCAGATTCATTTCTATTTCTTCTCTATCCTTGCTGCATACCTCTGTCCCTTGCCTGTCAGCTGGCACTCTGAGTACTAGCTGCCTGATACAGTACTAAATTTCATGTTGATGTTATCTGTTTTTTTTAAGCTAGTTCTTCTCTAAAGCTGCTTGTTTCTCGTTACTTTTAGTATTCCAGGCATCTCTGTTTCAATTTTATGCTTTAATATTATGGACTGTCCCTCTTTCAGAACGTCAGTCCGAGTTGCCAACACAGAGCAAGGCCAGCTTCCCCAGCATTCTCAGCGATCCTGACCCAGATTCTTCCAACTCTGGTTTTGACAGCTCCGTTGCCTCCCAGATCACGGAAGCCTTAGTGAGCGGACCAAAACCTCCTATAGAAAGTATGTGCATTTTCACATCTTTGTTTCTGTAATTCATGATATGCTATGTTGTTATACTTCTCCAGATGAAATGTAATGTAATTCAGAAGTATTTTCAAGGTATGAAATGGGAATGAAAATGAATGAAACAGTGCAAAACTGTGTCAGGCTGTTTCCAGATCAGACTCCACAGTGTTCACGTTTCCAGACTTTTAAAAAGTCTGGAGCCTGTCTTCAAGCTGTTACCTGTGTCATCTGTTGGCTAAAACACTGGGTCTGATGCCCCTCAGATCTTAGTCCCCTACAGTAAGGTCTGGACTGACTGTTAACGCCTTCCAAGGAAGCAGTTACCGTGGAAGGAAAAAAGACCATAGAACCAGTAACCTAGTGGTCTGAATCAAGAGGAAAAACGGGCTGATATAACAGCATCACTAAAAATCGGAAATAAATGTTTTTCTGGGAGGCAAATAAGATCGTAATGCTGTTCTCAGTGTTAAAATAGCTTGAAGAAATGGGGGCTTCGGGGGTCTTCTTTTTGTACTGATGTAAAACTGAATACCTGAAGCTTAAACAGCTGTTCCCATTGTTGCCATGTTAGGTCACTTTCGACCAGAGTTTATTCGACCACCGCCTCCACTCCATATATGTGAGGATGAATTGGCATGGTTAAATCCAATAGAGCCAGATCACACAATTCAGTGGGATAAGTCAATGTGTGTTAAGAACAGCACTGGAGTTGAGATAAAAAGAATCATGGCAAAAGCTTTTAAAAGTCCCTTGACTTCCCCACAGCAAACACAGGTAAGTATCACGCACTTTTCTGTCTAAAATGACTTTCTAACAAGCTGTCTATTAACTCATTTATTTTAGAAAACTTGGGTCACTTTAATTGATCTGTGTTTGGATCCAGGAAACTCCAAGGACTTTAAACTGTAAAAACCCAAGAGTTTTGACTTGGGTTTGCATGAAGAAGGAAGAAATCATTAAATTTCATAGCATTGACTGGATATATTTACAGTTGATCAATAAGTGGCACCAATATTTTTCTACATGGAAAAATCTTCTTTATAACAAAGTTGTTCATGCTTCTGTGGAAGCTTTTGACCAGTAATTATTTCAGAAATGCAAACACCGATTTCCCCTGCTTTTTTGATAATCATTATGCTAGCACTATAAAATATCCTTTTTTTGCAGAACTTTTTTTGACAACAATGAACGTGAAATTGAGGTTTCTTTCTGCTGGACAGGAAACTAAAGAAGGCTGAAACTTTTCATGGTTTTTTTTTTCCTCCCTTCCTTGCCAGCCATTGATGAAAGACTACTAAATGCCTTATTAAAGGTTTTATGGCACAGTTGCCTTTACATGGAAATTTTAAAGTATACCTCCCGTGTCTTTATGCCTAAATCTAAAGGGTTATCATTCTCCTGTAGCTTAGATGTATTATAGCAGTTTCTTCAAGCAGTAATGTGGATAGTTAAGAAAAAAAAACCTGAATCTTTTTTTTTTTTTTTTTTTTTCATCTTTACAGCTCCTTGGAGAACTTGAAAAGGACCCCAAGCTTGTTTACCATATTGGTCTCACTCCTGCCAAATTGCCAGACCTGGTTGAAAACAATCCCTTAGTAGCTATAGAAATGTTGCTGAAACTGATGCAGTCTAGTCAGATAACAGAGTATTTTTCTGTCTTGGTTAACATGGACATGTCCTTACATTCAATGGAAGTTGTAAATCGGTGAGTACTATTTCAAATCGAAGAAGGTTCCCTTAAGTATGTAAAGTAAATAACTGAAGAGTTAAGTGATTGTGAGGCTGGCCGCAGGGCTGTATTTGGATACATTCCAAAGACTACCAAAAGTAAATGTAACTGAAGAAATGACTAGTTGGATTACAGTGAAGGAAGAGTATCAAACTGTCATTCCCTTTTCACTTTTTCTCCATGCTGTTTGTGGTGGTGTGTTTTTTTTTTTTAATACTCTTCTAATCAATAAGACTTAGTGTGCTCTGATTAATCCTGCAGAGGAAGAGAGTGCTGTGGATTTGTTGCTTTCTACAACTGCTGGACTGTCTGTTTCTTTCATAAAGGCTTTACTTGCTTTTTAGGTAGTTCCTTATTGGTGGTGCCTGTAGTTAAAGAAAAAAACTGTTATTTTAGTCCAGACTAAGTTTGTAAAGTTAGCTGTGGGTTGGTAATAAAGAATGGAAGCTCTCGAACATCTTCAGTGCCAAGTTCAGAGAACGCTGCCAATTTGTAAGTTCCTTTTTGCAGCAGTGCTATTTTAAAATATTACTGTAATGTTAACAGCTTCGTATTAGCAGTAGCAAACCTGCAACTTAACAGGAAAAAACCCACAATTTCCCAGCAGAAAGATGTGATGGTGGAGGCATAGATATTACATTTTATATTAATTGTTTATAATTGATATAATAATTAAATATTTTGTTTTAATTGAAACTAACATAACTTTAATTATTTATAACATGCCATATTTTAACATATTAGGTATGGTAAAAAGCACATCTCTTGTGCAGGTGCTATGCTAGTTAATCTTTCAGTCCCTGCTGCAAGAATGGAGAGGCTTATTCAAAGAAAACACTGTGTTACTCTTTAATATTAGCAAAGTGTTTCTACTTTGAGAAGAATGGGGAAATACATATTGTGTTGTGGATAACTTCAATTGGAGTTGATAATTACTAGAAAATCATTTTATCAAACTGTTAGATATGTTCAGCTCAAAGCTATTTAAAATGGTTATCACTTAAGGGAGTCTGTCACTGCAATCTATAGTATGCCTAAAGTTTTATTCAGACATCAGGTTCCTGGTTAATACGTACATTTCACTAGCAAGTACGTGTCCTATGTCCCAGGAAGCTGCAAGTTTAGTTACTGACTTGCAAAAGGACCAGTTACTGGATGTGTATGGTTTTGTCACTGCGGTGACTGTCGCCCGCTCTAACGGGTCACAATCCAGTCATTCCTGATGAAGAATTCACATTCTTTTATCGTATCTTAAAAATTAGTCTCATCTCCAGCGTCTGTCTTCTCTTTCAACTGAGGTAGCAGTTTTGTTTTAATAGGACATCTGGAAATGTTAATTTTGATCCTTCTTGAGAAATGCTTGTGTGAAAGATAGAAGACTACAGTGGGACAAAGGGCAGTTATTGCGAGAATCCTCCACAAAACGTTAATGCCACACAGCTAATCTGCTTAAACGCAACTTGCGTTCTTGATGTGGCTTAAGCAAACAAAAGGTAGCATTGTTAAATAGCCATCCTGCTTTACGTTCATGCCCTGTCTTCATTGGGAATAACTTCTGCATATAGGTACAACCCATTTTCTTAACAGAATGCTAGCCCCTTCAATGGGAAAACTTCTCAGACAGCTAATCCCCACAAGCTACAAGAGTACATCTCTCCCCTTACTTTCTTCCATTTCTTGGCAATTACTGAATGGGAACTACCAAATCAGCCTTGTTCAGCAGTCTCTTTGCAGCAGAGTTGCACCTTAAATATCACTTGAGGAAAGAAACATTGCTGGAATAAATCCCTCCCTACTGGTGCAGACTCACAGCAGTTACTGCCCTGAAGTTGGGCTGATGGTCACAACATGGAGAAATAGTGGTAAGAAAAGAGCTCTTACTCCTCTCCAGGATAGCTACACCACCAGTCAGGCATGCTGGTTGTCCCACAGCGTAACTACCATAGGAACAACTTTTCTCAAACTGCAAAATGACTGTTAGTGCAAACAGGGAGACACTGATTTTTAAGTGAAATAAGACAAAAACTTGAAACTGAAATGTCTAAAACGTGCACTGTTTGCCCTATTCCCCCCCCGCCTTCACTACTTGAGATAGGACTGTGATTAAGAGTTACTTTGGTCAAATTCTGTTGTAATTTCATGGCAGTTTGGCATTTAGTGTATGCTGTTATCTTGAGAGCTGTATTGCTTTTTCAATTAAGAAACAGTGGCAGCTCAAATACTTTAGTAGTCAGTACTGTTAAACCACAAATAGGTGTGCTTTGCTGTTAACCCTTAAAAAATACACTAATGCCATTCTTTGATGCAATAGTTCTCCAGTTCTTCTGTAGTAAGAAGCTTCTGAGATTATCGTGCGTCATTAATCTCTAGTTAACATTTTCATCTAGTCAGGGTCTCTTATTTGAGCTGTAGATAGTCATGTTATTTCGGTTCCTGGGACTAAAATTTGGATCTGAAGGAACTAAGAAAACTGATCTCTTGCCCTAACAAAGGAGTTATTCCGGTTGTGTACTTAAGGAAGGAGCTCAGCATCTAGATTCAGTACCTGAAATTCAAATATGAATAAGCAAAATTGTATTGCAGTGCTTACTGCAGAAGAATCTTGGTGCTCGGACAGCTTGGGGGCTTCATCATAAATTGGAAACTAGTATCGTTTGTGTAATACATAGCAAATATTTGTAGGTGTGTCAAATATACTAGAAAGCAATCTAACTCAGCTTCTATACTGTGTCAGAGTTAAAAAAGTGTTTGACTCTTAATGAAGAAATTTAAATGATTAGAAATAGGTCTGTGGAAGCTGTCAGAAATTGGCTCTGTATGACATGACTAATATCACAGGTCTAACTCATTCGTTTTGCAACGGAATCACTGGATTTATGGCTTCATAAACCACTGGATATTTTTAATTCGAACAGGCTTACTACTGCAGTTGATCTTCCACCTGAATTTATTCATCTTTATATCTCCAATTGTATCTCCACCTGTGAACAGATTAAAGACAAATATATGCAGGTGAGTACTTTAGTAAATTGGTTAGGAAAAAGGGTCCCATATATTGCTCTGTGTAATATGCGCTGAGATTTTATAAGGCTGATGATAGCATTACGTTATTCTGTCTCACTGCTTCTTTATTTCAAAGGCACATTTTTTTTTTCCTAACGCACTATGCAGTTCTTTATAGTGTTTAACAGATGTTTCTTCACCTTTTTACAAGACTTCACAGGTAATTACTGTTTCCTGTTTTTTCTGTAGACATAATACTCTTCTCCCTGGCAAAACTGCAGTTTTATGAGACTCAGGTCCTTACACGCAAAAGGTTTATCTGTCACGCAGTGTGCCTTTTCTTCACCTTCAGTATTAGTTGTTTGCCTTCTGCTTAGTTGTAAGCTTCAAGTTTCTTTTTTGTACAAGTGTGCCCACCGCTTCCAGACCTTTGAGGTAATGTTACAAAACTCATGTGGAAGTCTTGCCTTTCAATCATGACTATTGCCAACCCACAATAGCTTGCAGGTCTCCTCAGAGACCTAAAAACCCGCTTTCTGTTTTTCTACCACCATACGCTCTGCTTCCCAAGCCTGTCATACTTCTCCAGTACCAGCATGCACGTTGTAGCCACTTCAAGGATCTTTACCCCCTGGGGAGGTTTCCACACCTTTGGCACACAAGGTTGTCTACATGCTGTGTGAGGTACCTCCTTCTGTACTAAACTGATCTGCTGCTTTCACCAAGTGCCCAGTAGAACTTGTTTTCTTGTTGCTACGTCATTGGTGAAAAACAGTTCCGTGTTCAGTTTACCCGAGGCTTTGTGAATCTTGACCAAGTCCTGCTTCAGCTTTTTCCTCTCAATACTGAAGACTGCAACCTCTTTAGTCTCTCGCAACAAGGCAGCTGTTCCTTTCCCTTAAGCTTTTTCTGGTGTCCTTCTCTAGCTCTACTACATCCTTAAGCTGCAGAGATGAGAATTGTGTGCAGTACACAGGGTATGGGTGCAGCGTGGTTTTAGATAGCAGCAAAAACTCTGTCTTTTCTCGGTACCCTTCCAGATGATGACTAACCATTTGTTATCTTTTGGTGGCCACTGAGGCTTCCCTGCTTTAGGACTCGGCCAGATACACGTGGGTGGCTTGATCTGTGACCTGCTGAATAGCCGTGCCTATTGCATTTGGCAGCAGAATAGGAAAATAGCAGCAGACCTGGGCTGCAGCTGAGAATATGCCCACAGAGGGGGGCACTGTGCTCAAAGGGGCTGCTGAGAGCATATAGCAGCTGTGCTTCAGGCACACGGGGGACAAAAAACAACAGCGTCAGGAACACTTACTGATCGCCAAGTAGCGTGCGAAGCTTGTGGGATCTAACATTTGTTAATACTGCATATGAGGCCTCACAGCAACTGAGACACAAGACGTTGTGTTTGAAAAGCATGGTACAAAACCACTCCTATTGGAAGTGAAAGAGGCACGATCCTCAGAGTGGGAGTCAGCCAGCATCTTGCATTTGTACTTTTGTTCTGTTCCATGTTCCTCAGTTATTACTCTTGTAACTTATTTTGTGTTGCAGAGAAAACGTGGTGCCTTTTGATTGCAGTGAAGGAAATAACTTGTTCAGTTTCTGAATTTTCTTGGTATAGGTAGCAAATTTTGCAGCAGTAAGCTCAGTTCCTGTAAAAATAGTTGGTAAGCTTATTGTCAGTGTCAATCTAATCTAAACTACTTTGGACACTTAATCTATCAAGTCCCCATAGTTCTCTCTGATAAACATCGTTCGTGTACATAGTTGCTTTTAGATAAAGGTTTTGGTTCACCTCTTTCTCACAATGTGAACTATGAGACCACTTCAATGATAAAGATCTGCTTTCGTCCTTGAGAAAAAATGTATAAAGCAGACAGTTAGTGACTGGATCCGTGTATGACAAATTGCAGGTGCCAGTTGCTAGGTCTCCATTTCACAAATCCCAGCTGTTCTACAAGGTGTTACCTAAGCAGCCCTTAGGAAGGAGAAACACTTCCATGATCCCATCTTTTCACTGGAGCAGGTGGAAGATCACAGCTCACAGCCATGAGCTCTGAAGTGTCGTCTTGGATTAGGTGTCCCTGCTACTGTCTTTCCTTCTAAGATAGAGCAAGAGGGTCGCCTGCTCATTTGGCGAGAGAGCACTCCCCACAAAGCAAGTTTGGGATCAGTTCTGCTGCTGTCACTTCCCAGCTGGAGTGCCTTAATCGGTGACTGGGGAATTTTGAGATGTGAAGCTTGTTCATTTTGCTTCATGGTGGTGGTGTAGTAAATAAGACTAAGCAAGAGGGGTGACTCTAGTGATGACATCATCTTGGGCTATGATCTCTTCTCTCTGACTTTAATCAGAGATTACATAATAAAGACATTAAGTACAGTGCATATGTAGATCTGGTGCTTCATTTGTGCATGGGATTGATCTTAAGCAAGCTCCTGTATCCAGAAGTACTGTAAAGCAGAGGAGTCAATTTTTTTAAATACAGTAGCAGTGTGGGAGGTAGAACAGTAGGGGCAGCAGGTACAAAGCTCGGGAACAAGATTACTGCTGAAGCTAAATTGATTTTGAAATGCCTCAGTTGTACTGCTGAGGGCCAACAGTCCTTTAACTGACTTGGTTGCAAGCATCTATTTGGATTATGAAACCATATCTCTTCTGTTTCAGAACCGCCTGGTACGTCTTGTTTGTGTCTTTCTTCAGTCTTTAATCAGAAACAAAATTATTAATGTACAGGACTTGTTTATAGAAGTGCAAGCTTTCTGTATTGAGTTCAGTCGGATACGAGAAGCAGCTGGCCTTTTCAGATTGCTGAAGACGCTGGACACTGGGGAAAATCCATCAGAGACAAAAACATCAAAATAAAACCACTGCGTCACTGGCAAAAAGAAGAAAAACCCTGCCAGTGTTCTATACCAATCACTTGTATATTTTAAACTTAAATCACTGGATTAATGATGTAATACACTATAAATAGCAGTTTATGCATTTAAACAATAAATAATGCTTTTTCTGATACACATGCTTGAGTTTGTGAAATGTGTTAGGCCTTACACTTCCGCTATTTTTGACTATGGGTTAAGCTCTGGATGTCGTATGCATATCCTGAACTGCAGGCTCTAATTCCAGAAGGGATGTAAATGATACTTGCCACTTCACAAGAGATTTAAATATTAATCTGGCACTCACTGTCTTTGCGTCCAAAAGTCAACTTGCATCAAAGTAAGTAACTTTGGTTCCTGCTTGCCCTTTCTTTCCTGTTTAAGACCTTCTAGAAGCTGGATATGACTTCTAATAATGCGTGCTGGTTTTGGTGAGTGAGGGCAAGTCTGTCTTGATGTCTAGAAAAAGCTTAAAGGCTTATCTTGACATGGCAGAAATGAAGTGTTGGGTGCTGTAGGCTCAGAGCGGTACTTTCTCTTCTCAAGATCACTGAATTTTTCCAGAATACTGGCCTCGTACCATCAGTAGTTGAAGTACTGCACCTATGTTGTGCTTGTGAGTGTTTCACTGAGGAAAGATGGTCCCATTCCATAAAAAGCTGTCATGAGCCTCTTCTCACTTCAGAACTTGCATAGGCAGTTGCTCTGTGGCTACCCAAATTAAAGCAGCCTCTTCCTTCCAAAGCATACAGTCAGAGTACCGCTCTGGTGCTAGATGCCAGGTGTTGGGGAAACTGAGGAAGGAGTCTGCTAAAGTATTATTTTAAGCTGATGGTAGAACAGCTGCTGTTATTTAAGCCCTGAGACTAAAAAGGAAAAGAACTTGAAATGCTAGCTAGTTCTCATTTAATGCTGCTTTAATAAATGGAAGCTGTTTTAAATCTGCACCTGCTTCTCAAATTTTTATGAAGCGCAAGATCAATAATCCAAGGTCAAGACTGTCTTTTACCACCTTCTTTCCAAGTAATTTAAGTTGCTAAATCACTTGGATTGAAAATCCCATTGATCTCTCATCTCATGCAGCATCATCTGTTGCTAAGAAGTCCTGTGAGAAGTGTCCTGCAGTCATCAGGGGTTAGACTTGCATAGCTTCCCAGAGTTAAGATGTATTAGGCCAACTAAAGGAGCATTTATTTAAGGTCTGTTCCAATTCTAGACATTCTGTCTAAAACCGAAGACGCTTGCTCTAAGTCATTGTTAGCAGCAACAGTTAACCTAGCTTGTGCGCTAAATTTGTACCTTAATGCTTTACATCTACTAAAGTTGGAGTACAATTTGACTATTATCTTCTATGTCCTAGTACCCCTCTTCAAAAACATGGTTTAAAAAAAATACTTTATATAGGTTTTAGGCTTTTTTTTGGAACTTACCTAGTACTACAGCTTATAACAAAGTAACAGGCTCCAGCAGAAACCTGAGTACTGCTGCTTCAAGGCATTGCAATCTAGCTTATGATTTACAGAATTACTTTAAAAGAATTTAAGCCTTGCCAAAAAAAGAAGTAGGCTGCTACTATGATGCCATAAGCAAAAGCCTAGCTGTTCTGCCTCTTCATAGTACTTGCTTGAGTTGTACTGACATACGTAAATCCCCACTCCCTGGATTTGTCCTCTAACTAGAAAAATTATCAGTTATCAGGAAACAGTCTTATGATTTTTATCACAGGCACTTCTGTAATGTATTTCTATACTTGGGAAATAGGCACAGCCTGTTTATTTTGGAGCCCTGTGCATTGATGAAAACATTCAAACTTGTTACTGCATTTGCTGTATGCTGCTGCAGTGCTTGCTTGTTCGGAGGAAGCTTCCCGCATTCCCTGCTGTGCTGGGCTGACACGGCAAGGCTGTGGTAGTGGCGGGGCTGTACGGTGGCCTCTGTGAGGAGAGGCCAGGGCTACCCTGCGCCAGACCCAGCTGGGACGGGTGAGCCCCTCAGCCAGGCTGGGGGCACCTCTGGTAACTCCATGGAGAGGATCCATGTTGGTGGAGCAGTTCTTTAACTGCAGCCCACAGGAGGGACCCTGCACTGGAGCAGGGGAACAGCAGAGACCAAGTGTTATGTGCTGACCACAACCCTCCTTCCCCTGCCACTGCTCACAGGGGGAAGAGTCAGGAGCAGAGGAGTAAAGGTGAGCCTGGGAAAACCAGGGGGAAAGAAAGGTGAGTTTAGTTTTCTCCTTGTTTCTCCCTATCCTACTCCATTTTTAAATGGCAATAAATTAATCTTCATCAAGTCAAGTCTGTTTTGCCTGTGATGGTACCTGTATCTTGACCCATGAGTTCTTTCTTCCCCTGTCCTACTGAGGAGCTGGGTGGGCATCCAGCAGCCAGCCAAGGTTAATGCACCAGACCCAGGTATCAGTTACATGGGGAAAACCTCTACAACACACAGAAAGGATCTCCCCCATAGCTACCCAGCATGAAGTTAAGCTTGGTTTGTTGCTGTGCTACTTGAGTTGCTCAGATCTATTTACATACATGTAGCAAAGAAAACAAAACCCTCAAGCTTCTCGGACAGTGCTTTTTAAAAGGTCTGTATAATTTATTATGGAATTTGAGCTTTTAGCCATTAAGTTACAACAACAATGCATAACTTGACATTCTTACAGTTGTACACACACAATGGAAAAGACATAGCCCAGTGCTTAATCCAAACAATGCAACCAAGTTAGTACAAGGTTACCATAAAAGACAGTTGACTGTGAATAGTTGTTGACAGACTAGCAAGTTCAAATGGTTCTCTGCAGTTATGTCTATAGTAGAAGTAACTGGCTTCAAAGTTTTGGACTTCAGCTTCAGACTAACAAAACAAAGTCAAATTATTTTGCTCTTCTGAATTAAGTAGGATATGCTCATTTAAAAATGCAGTATCATTACCATGTATCAGATGGCAAAAAGTAGCTTCAGGCCCAATGGAAGTATAGTGGACATTTTCCAGGCAATGCATTCTTCACACAAACACATGCAATTATAGAGACATTCTACTTTTAAAACTTTCTCAAATCAAGTTTTGCAATACAGCAGGATATCTGAGGAGAGAGATCAGGACCCATACTGAACAAAAGCAAAAGCCTTCAGCTTGATTTGTGCATGTTTAATCTACAATTCCAATTCCCAAATCTTCACATATCACCTATGAGAGAAAAGAACACATCTAGTAAAGATCAGTCTCAAGGACAGAACACGTTATAATTTTTACAGCCACCCTGGTTAAAAAAAAAAAAAAATGCTGCTGCCATCTTCCATTTCAGGAATTGTGATTCACTGAGGCCCTATTATAAAACTGAACCCCCAACTTACCCAAGGGGAGAATCTTGCTCTTCCCTCCTCCGCCCCAACTCCTCATCCTCTTAGCCCAGCTCTAAAACCCAGTCAATTGCACAGCAAGGACATTCCGTTTCCTAGCTTGTCAGAATACAGCTTTGATAGATTTAATTTAAGCTGAGTTAGTTTATCACATACTCTTCATCTGAATGCGAGACAGAGCAAACTAAATGGAGCAGAAAAGGAAACCAGAAAGGACTGCTCCATCTCTCCTTGTAACAGCAAGCTTTTACGTTGGTCCAAGCCATTGTGCAAAGTCTCACCCAGCCTGGTGGCTGAAGGGAGACCTACAGAAGAGAAGGGTCTCTTGTTAAGCTGCCAGCACAATTTCATTCACCCTGCAGCCAACACCCAGAACTCCACTCCCTCCAGGTTAACCCAACGAGATATTGCCAGCTGACTCCTCCACCAGATTTCAGTACATTCTTATTGATCTCAGTATCTTTGTCCAGCACAGAAACACTGCATTCAATGCCAAGTGCTGAAAATCAAAACCATGCAACCTCTCCACTAAAAAAAAAAAAACCCAAACCAAACAAACCTAACAACAAACAACCCCAACAACAAAACCAAAGCAAACAAATAAAACACACACACACACACACACACAAAACCCAAAACAAAACCCAAAAAGCAAACAAAAGCCCCAAACACCCAGTTAACCATCCCCACAATATCATCATTACTGGTTTGATTCAGGGTGCTAAAGGCTCTGTTGAGCATGAATTCCCAGTTTTACTGAACACTTGGGATGTTGATGTGTAACAAAGAGATACCTTTATTACACATTGTGGCAACAACTGAAAAAATATTCCACAAGTTCAGAATGTCATTGTCAACCCACTGGTGTATACTTCAAAGTACAGTTGGCATTGCTGACAGCAGTTGCATGTCTAGACAGGAGAAATCTGCTTTTATGGGGCAGCTAAATAATTGGCCCAACCTGTTGTGTCATATCTGTTGCCATCATAATGTGAACCCAACACCTTTCACTTCTGATCGAGCTCATCAAAACCTGGAAGTGTAGATACTGCCTCTGCCTCAGGCATCCTCTGAACCATAGGGCCTAAGAAGTGGGGTAACCATCGCTACACACTTGCTGGGCTCATCTCTGCACAACTGCTACTGCCTAGTCTTAGAGAAAGCCTAGCAGGCCAGGCAGAAAACCAGGACAACCACTCCTGAATCAAGAAATGTTTAAAAAAAAAGTCTTTGCATGTTTCACAAAGTTGCTGCAATGGTGTTTCTCTGTGCCAGTTACACCCTGGCAGAAGACTGGAATTCCCAAAGTATAACAGCCCAGCTTTGGCAGGAATAATACCAGTGCCCAATTTATTAAGTCGGCATGGATTAAAAGTATTCTCACGGTAGTTAACTTATCCTACCAGTCCTCTGGCATACCTCCAGAATCTAGCACTGATTACTGGCAACAGGTTACTGGACTACACTGACATACTCAGAGGGGTGAGGGGCGGGGGAAGGAGCTCCTGCTCTCTAATCCAACTTCCCTAGTACATGCAAAGGATCTCCTCCAAGCATCGCTTAGAGCCAAAGAAGAATCCAGACTAGGGGTAGTTAGTGAAAGAAAATCCAAATTTTCTAGTTAAATTGGTACTTCAGGTAATTAAACTGTTAACATGCATTTAGATCTGAAATGTCTACCGTTCATTTTTGCCTGGTGTCAAGTCTGAAAGCTGAAGCTAGTTTAAACAGTTATTTACTGTCAAACATATTCTTCAATTTGGCATTTGTAGA